TAGCATGTATCGATATATTACTGTGCTTTTAGTCGTTTCGGCTGTAATTCGTGATTGAAAGTTAATAAAAAATGCTCGAAAAAGCAGTGTTTTTACATTTCATTGATTTTCTCGAAAACTATAATAGATAGAATGATATCCAATTTATTCATATGAAAGCGGAATGTTTGGGGAATCTAGCAAGTATAGATACATTCCTGTGCTCTTATCCATATTGCTGTAATGCGCGTTCCTTTTATGAAGGCGCCAAATGATTACATACTTTTGAGGGAGGCATAGTAACATCAAGTTTTGAAACCACTGGTCTACGCAATACCAATGTGAATTAAACATATCAACAACAATTTAGGTGTTTTTTAAATGAGAAGTTTGCAGTCACAATACTAATAATTTGAGTCAATCTTGCATCAATTCACTCACAATATCATTACAATACGCATTACTTACCAAGTAGCAAATACAGATTTGATCGTATATACAAAATTATACATACCTGAAATGTATGGTCAAGATTTGAAGAGGATTTCTTTAAGAACAGGCAAATCTTTTTTCCAATCTCAACTTGATCTTGTCTATTCGTCTATTATGTTTTCAGAAATCCGAGATCGAGTTTCTGCAAATACAATCAATTAAGAAACGAAGAGTAGACAATGAGTGCGTCCTGAAGCAATTGATGGAAGCAAATATGGAAACGACTGCATTTCGCGCACGACGTTTTCAGTTTAACTTTAAAGAAAAGTAAAAAAAAAAATGTACGTAGAATGGAAGGAAAAGCTGTGCGTGAAATGAATTCCTAAATTTCAAAACAACAGCAGCAGCAATAGATTACATTCGATCACCTGTCACAATGGAATTTTACAATTTTTATTTGTTTGTTTTGTTTAATTTACATTACACGATTATCTCAAACGGTATGCTGGAAATGATAGCGGGAATCGAATTGTTCTAGGTTGGCACGTAAAAATTGCCATTCTTTGATAAATGAAAACATATAAGATTGTGCGCTTTGTTTCGGTAATAAATAGTAATTGAAAAACTTCGATAATGCTGCTTCTGCTTCTCCTAGTTTTCATTGGTACGTATCGTATTTTGCATGTGTTTTTAATGTGTTTTCTTTTTCTGATAATTTTCAGGTGGAGGTGATGCCATCGCCAGGTTTTACCTGTTGAATCGGCAATCGCCAGAGTCGAAGACGGAAATCACTGATGAGAATTTGCATTTGGTGAACGCTAATCTCACCGTCAAGTTCATTATTCACGGATGGCTAGAGAGTTACGAAAGGCAATGGTACACGGACATGACGAGAGCTTATCTGCTGCGGTACGATTGCAATGTGATCCAGGTGGATTGGAAGGAAGAGGCGGCGCAATTATACTCGGTCTCGGTGCAAAACACTAAGATAATCGGTAAGGTTTCAATGTTCAATTCAATTTAAAGTGATTGCTCTTTTTATTTATGAAAGGTGATAGCGTCGGAGATTTCATCGTGAAGCTGAACAAGAACCTGGGTTTGGGCTTGGAGAAGGTGCACGTGGTGGGGCATTCTCTGGGAGGGCAGGTGAGCGGCTTTGCGGGGAAGGAGGTGCTGCGTTTGATGGGCAAGAAGATCGACAGGATCAGCGGCCTGGATCCGGCTGGACCTGAATTCGAGGGGAAGGATACGACGGAGAGATTGTACGTCGGCGATGCCAACTTCGTTGATATCACTCATACGGATCGTGGTGTCTTCGGGTACAAAGAATCGATTGGAACTGTTGATTTCATGCCCAACGGAGGTGACAGGAGACAGCCTGGATGCACTCTCTTAGAGCACGACAATCAACTTACTTTGGTTCAAGACAGTAAGCATATCCGTGAACTTGTATTCACCGTAATCCATGGTTTTTATTTTCCAGTATTTTGCAGCCATATCCACAGTTACCTCTACTTCATACAGTCCATAAACGATAAATCCCAAATTGCCTACAAATGCAACAATTATCTGAACTACAAAATAAACCTTTGTTCGATGAACGAGAAGACCATCTACGGAGAAGACGTGGACAGAAACGCCGCCGGCACGTTCTACTTCAGAACCACCGCTGCAGCTCCGTACTTTACGTAATTCCCGACCAGAAATACATGAATATAACGACTATTCAACCAATGCACCAAACTCCTGTTCTCTTTCCCAAAAGTATAATTGAAAACAATGTTAAATCTTACATAATAAATGTGCAGCGGGTTATCTCAAATTGCAAATTCTCCAAATACAACAACGTTTATTTACATTAAATAAAATATATTGTCTCTTTAGTTATTTACATTTAGTCAAAACTGTCAATCAACTTTGTAGCATCCTCCTGTTGTCGAGAATCAGTTTCTTCAAGATCAAATCGCCGACGTCTATGAGATCACCGTTCGCTTTTTTGTCTGAAAAAATAATAATAATAATAACAAATGGATTTTTTTGATGAAATGAAGTTCAACTCACCTTTGTAGTAGATCACTTCGCAGGTGTTCGCCATGTCCGGGTCTTCGGCGATGAGCGAGGTGAGTGTTTCGTAAAATTGGTTGATCAACTCCGACTTGTGCTTCTTGTAGTATTCTGTAGAAGTTGAACGATTATTATTCGGGAAAATATGTTAAATGTTTTTACTGATTTCAGAATGATACCTGAATGCAGTCCAGTTTTATTGGTGACTTCGTCGAGGGTCTTCAGCGGCGTAGCGTACTCGGCGCATATGTACAGCTTCTCTTGTTGATTTCCCGACGTGTAATTGATCTTGTAGACGGCATTCTTGTAGACCCTGTTGATGACGCCCGCCCTGTTCTTGGTGATCGGATCCAGAGTCTAACAAACAAATTAGAAGGAAAACTCGGATGATCGGGTGATCACACGTACCTTGGCCTTTTCGATCCTGCTGGAGACGCTCTCGAGGGTTGGCGGACAGTACAAGGACAGCGGCACGAGGACGTACAGCTTGTGCTGATGGAAGTTGACGTTCTCCTCCGCTTCGTAGATCATCATCTTGTCCTTCAATCCGTCTTCCGGCGCCAAATTGATCTTCAGGTAGCCGTGGTAGAAACTGTGCGCGATTCCGGATCCGTAATCGAGGCCCATCATGTCTGAAATACGCAGCGAATACCGAAGCGGGTAATCGTCCTACATCAGCGGCCGCATCAGCCTCATCATCCGAACGATTGAACTGATAACTTACCAATTTCAGGATGTCCTTCAGCAGATACACGGCGGCCAGGATGAGCAACATCGGCAGGTTTTCGTGTCCGGTTTCCCAATTGTAAGCGAGCAGGAACACGCTGGACGCCGCGAAGAAGATGGAGATCTGTCTGGGGAGGATCGTGAAGACATCGTTGATCAGCAGATGGAGGGAATCGTTGTATCTGCAGTGCAGGTATTTGTACTCCTCCGCAAAATGCGTCAACCGTTTAACGAACGCAATGGCGAAGAGCACCAGCAGGAAAAGCGAGAAGTATTTCACTGCACGAACATAAATATAATTTACATATACTAATAACTAATACTAATGCAAATTGCATTTTGCAGAAGGAGACTGAATGCGAAATTCAGCTTGGTCTACTCACAAATGAATCCTGCGGACGGATATAGAACGAAAGCAACTGAAAGCACACGAAACGCATTCGTAAGTGTTTTAAGGAAATTTATTCGTTCAAAACAAACGTTTTATAATGCTTTTGCTTCTCACATTCGTCATCGTTTTTCTTTTAACAACTGCAATAATATACTGAATCGTATTATAATATTGAATGAACGAATAATAAAATAAACAGATTAAGTAAACTGAGCCCTAAATAAACATGTTAAGGATTTGGTACTTCCGAGTATAAATAACAGCATCACTTTTAGCTGATGTGTTCATAAATTATATTTACGTAGCAAGAACACGATCGCAATTAGATGCTGATAAGAACGGGCCTCGTTCTGCCTCTCTGGCGGAATGCTCTTCGGGAAGACTCTTCTGTTCTTGGAATTCGTCCTCACGTACTCCTGCAAATCAGTACGAAATCAGTATCTTGCGATAATCGTCCAAAAAAATCAAATGAAAATTATTGTTAATTACTTTTGTTAATCAACTTTGATTAAAGATGATGCAAGAATTTGAATGATTTATTTAAAAACAAAATGCAACTGAACGTCGCTTACTTAATTTTTATCAGTAGATGATTGTTGTAGATCAGAGATAATTGTTGTTGTTGTGTTAAAGATGCAATCTTCGTGTGCGATTGAATGAATGATCTTGTTAGTTCGAATGTTAAATTTTTGCAACAAATACGAAATGCACTTTACTTACGATTTGGTCCATAGTCGTCAAGAGTCTGGTAAATACGACGATGTTATTGAAAACGATCAAAGGAAATGAATTTATTTATGAATTTGAAACAATGTAAAGGAAGTGGGTTCTGGCTCAGTGCAATATTGTGGGTCACGAATCTAATCGAATCGAATTCGTTCCATGACTAATGCCAATGATGCCAAGTTTCAAGAATCCTAACCAGGAAGGACCAAAGTCATATGAAAAAAATATCATGGTGGCTGTGCCCAGCTGTGCCGCTGTCACCTAATCGTTAGTACACCGGTAGCTCTTCAGTAGGCGCCACAAGTACAAGAGTTAATTAATTTAAATTTTTAAAAATTCTTATAAGATTCCAAACGAGTTTTACTATTATTATCATATAAATCTTTTTGAAACCTGCAATTGACCAATGCGTATTATTTATATCCAAGTGACAAAATGACAAAAATTACAATTATTTCATTTGTTATATTATATCGTATTGAGGTTATGTAGCTTTGTTTTGTTGTAATCAGTTTTAGGTTATATCTGGAGTTGAAGATGGGTAAGCCCCCCGTGATACAGAAGAGGGACCAGAAGAAAACGTTGTCTGCACAGAAGGGTAAGAAGGAGGTGATCAAGAACCTGCTTGTCAATCCCTACGATGAATACTTGTAAGTACACTTAATGATTTATACAAATTGCAAATTACACAAAGCAAAACTAACACATTCGCAGTCCGGAAATGAATCAGTCCGAAGCTGCCGGCCTGCTTGAGTTCTTGGAGCAGTTGCCGTCCCTCAAATGCACCACCAAAATCCCATGGGCTGACATCAAGGCAATTCCCAAGGAGTCCAGGAAATCATTCCGAGCAGAGCAAAGCCCAGATTTTCAACCACCAGAGTCTGAGATTAAGTAATATTACCTGAATCACGTTAAATGAAATGAAATAAATTGAACTCTTTACGCAGATCCAATTTAATTTTTGGTGTCAACAAAGTCACCCGACTGCTGGAATCCGAAAAGTGTCCTGCCTCAGTGCTGATAACAGCTGATGTGAATCCCAGATACATGGTGAAGCACGTCATAGATTTGTGCGTTTTAAAGAAGGTGAACGTTCTGGTGGTGCCCAAACTGAAGGAGACGCTTGCCTCATCGACTGGCATCCCCACAATAGTTTTAGGCCTGAACAACGTGCGAAAGTTCGACGCTTTCAATGAGAAAGTGAAGACGCTTTGCGCTAATTATCCCGTACCTGAAAGGCACGCGCATTTTGCCGAAGACGAAGCGTTCTGTGCGGAATCCGAGCAATCCGTTGTCGAGGATGAGGAAATAGCAGTAACTAAAAATTTCCATTTGATCAGGACGGATCCTAATGTCAGGGTGTTCGTGCCGGAGACGTCGAAAGCGAAGTCTCAAACCAATCCGATCGATTTCCTCTCCTTCGACGATCGGAAGCCCGCTGTTAAGACCAATTACATAGGGTTGAAGGTGAAATCCGTTAGGAAGAACGCGAATAGACCTAAGAAATTTAAACCGCTCGTGTGATTTAAGATTTAAGCTAATTAAATAATAAATATATTTTCTCTTACATTGCCTAATCGCTCAACAAATATTATATGTGAATGGATACATCCATTAATTATTCTATAAATTACAGATACTGTTGTTGTCCTCAACCAATCGGATTGCGCCATTTCATTTAAGCCTCGTTCTGATTGGTTGCGAAAACGCTTTATAATCGCTAGAGAATATTTAAGTAATAAAGTGCGTGTCTTCATTGTGGTTTAAGGGATTTTGTGCGTTAACGGAGAGATTGTGCGTTTAGCTAGGAAGCGGTTAGATGTTCGAGCGAATTCATGGGCTATCCTTGAATGCCTTCTCGGTGGATTCGTAGTTCTGGCTCTCGGTGGGGCTCTGCTTCAGAGGTTGCACCTCGACCGCTTCGTGGGAGTAAGTGTTGTTCCACGGCTGCTGCTCCCCGCTGCCGAACAACCCGTACACAATGATCTCGATCGTGTAGAGAATTATCGTGGTCCAGAAAATGATCCTCCACGAATTGATAGATGGCTGAAAATGATGAATATATTAATATTTTATTGCTTTTCGATGTTAGAATTTAATTCAAAACTGTTGTCAATTGATGTAACTGATTTAAAGTATCGTTGCTATAGCGACCAAAACAATATTTGTTTAATTTTTAAGTTGACTGTGTGTACGTACGTCGGTTTGTATTAGTTTTCCAACGAATATCGGAACGATGATTCCCGGTATTGTGGCGGCGGTATTGGTGAGTGCCATCAGAGTGCCTGCGTAGTTTGGAGCGATGTCGATGTGATTGGAGAGGAATCCGCAGAACATTCCACCGACAGCAGTGACTGCAAGCGTCATCAAGACGACTGCTACGATCTTCTGGCATCCAATGTAGCTGAGTAGCAGGAAACAAAATGCCGGCACGACGGAGGCGATGAGCGTCGCTATTTTGCGTGCTCTCGTCGTATCTATGACGCCTTTCCCTCTGAGTACATCCAGCGTGCGGCTAAGGATCATGCTGAAAATCCACATGCTGAGGAACGGTATAGCCGTGAGGACGGCGTTCTCGGTAATTTTGAATTTCAGTACGGATTTCATGTAGATGGGCAGCTCGATGAGAACCATGTACCATCCCCAGTTGTTGCATGTGTGCGCTATGAAGATGGCGACGAAAGCGGGAGAGGTGAGCACCGATTTCCAAGGGACCGGTAACTTCTGCTTCCTCTCCGACGGTCCCAGCGATTTGATGATGTACTCTCTCTCATCGTCATCGATGAACGTCTGCTCTTCGGGCGAGTCGGCGATGAGGATTCCCCAGAGGACGAGCCACACGCAACTGAAGCCGCCCATTATGTAGAACACCGACTCCCAGCCTAGGGACGCTGCAATGACCCCGGTTGACAGCATGCTCACGACCGTCCCGAGAGCCGTCCCAGCGTACACCAGGTTGCTCATCACGCTCCTCTCCTTCGGAGGTGCCCATCTGGCGAGCATCACGTGCATCGCTGGAAAGGTCACACCTCCACCGATGCCTTCGGCGATTCGCATGGCCAGGGCCGCACCGAAGTGGATCCTCGCGGAAGGTGGAGTGAGGATCGTTCCCGCTACGTTTACAGCCACCGCGAAGAACATCGTCCATTTGGCGCTGAAGAGTTCGGCAATTCTACCACCCGGAATCTGGGCTATGATGTAGCCCCAGAAGTAGGAGCTCAGCATCGCACCCTGCATAGTTCCGGGCCAAGTGAAAGGTCCGTCCTGAAATCACACATTCCAACATCTAATCCCTATTCATAATATAAACACTGAACAAATCTACTCTACTCTAATGATGTCTCCGTTTTTAGGTTCTTTGATCTTAAGCAGACTGCAAGGTATTTACCTCGAATGAAGATGAAGAATTGCTGGCAGGTTCCAAGCAACTGTCGTCGTTGGTCAAAGATGAGGCCTCGTTGATGGGGTTCGAGAGACGAAGCGCCGTGTGATTGACCATGCTCACGATTGCGACGCTCAGATTAACCTTCAGGCCGTAAACGATCGCCATCCCCAAGGAGCCGAGGGTGGCCAAAAGGTATCTGGCAGAAATCCATTCTGCAGACATGAAAAAAGTACAGTGAAATGCTAACGTCCACGTTTGGAAGAAAAACAAACTCACTTCCACAAATATTTCTTCTCGTCGGATTCTCCATGATCCCTTCTTCTAAGCTGCACAGATAACAAAGTCCTGATCGCACTTGATGATTGTTGTGGCCATATGTTTTGTTTCGTCGCAGATGGGAGTCTCTGGAGTATCGAGCGGGTCGACCTGTTGCTCGTTTTATGCTGCGTTCTGTGCCTGTGCTCTCGGCGCCCTCGCGAAATAATGATCTGCCCCAGAAAGCGACGTGCAGAAATACACGGAGCGCGGCGCGACTACAGAAATAGCGATTCCATGCACGAATTAAAATAATGGAACAAAACGAAGTGCATTCCAAATAAGAATAGCATCAATTCGAACCAAATCCTAAGAAATATTAAGAAGCTGAATAAGTTTGTCATTTTTTCTATGCGAAAAATGCATATTAATTTAATGATTGCGTCTTACTTAATTCAATCGATGGAACGAGTTCGTGTGGTGCAGGGAACTTGCGGTGTACTTGGTAACGGAAACCGACAAGGTTTATCAATCGATAGATACGGAAGAGCAGATAAAATCGGTGTTAATGCATGTTTTCACGGAATTTTCTGGACTCTTCCATTACAGTTGGCACGTAACGCGCTCGTACGTTGAAAGCAGTTCTTAGGAAGATGTGACGCATCATCATCATCGACGGTTCTCGAAAATCTTCTTTGGAAACACTTAAAAAGTATTCGAAAATTACCTAAAACATATCAACAATTAACTGAAACATTTCACATTGTAACTAATTTAGAAATGTTTTAAAAATGGATATATTAACGCAACTGCGATATTGAATATGGAATTTTCAAATTTGACTTTAATCACAAAACTGTTGGCAACTGTGTTCGCGGTAACGCCACTTTTGCGCGGAGAATGATGCTCATTTGTTGACCGGCGTTCAATGAATCGACGTGCGCTCCCGTTTCGAAAATTCAAAATTGTTGTGTAATCCATTCAAATCTACTGAATTATCTCGTATCCTGTGAAAACCATCATCGGAGAGAACAATCCAATTAGAATATGGCAATTAACAGTGAGTAATTAATTCATATTTAATAAAAAAGAAGAGTCGATTCACACATACAACGCTTAGGAAATCTTCACTTACGTGTTTGATCGTGGTTTAATTCAAAATCAAAGTATCGCTTATAATTATGTGGGTTAATTAATTAGAAATTGCGTCGTTTTCAAAATGGCGAAAGGACGCGTCCCCTCCCTCAATTTTTATCTTTGTTTTGACAAATTTCGAGCTCGCGAAGTTAGAAACAATGCATTTTTATTGCAAAAAAAAAAAGACAAGTTCGGTCGAAGTTGGCACGATTGTGGCGTCCTCACGCCACAGTAGTGCGCGTCTCTCGCTTAAGATAACTTCGTCTTGATTATAAATTCGTGTAAATTCACGGATTTTCAACAATTTTCCAGTAAAATTTAGTTAAATAGAAAACCACAGATCTACTGATGACGATTAGTTGTGAGTATTTCAAATAATAAGCAATTAACACTCAATAATTGAATTCCCTAAAGATTTTTTTTTGTTCGTTATATGGATGCAAGGTATTAATTATACCAGGTCATTCTGTGCGTTAATCACGTTCGCAGTGATTCGTATAGAATGGCAAGACCGCCTGTGCTAAAACCTTCTCGAGGTGCATCCGTTAAGGTGGTTGCTCGTATCCGAAATATGCGAGCAATCACCGACAGATCACAGCGGATCTAGGGGCTCGCGTTTTCCCCGAAATTTCATTTTTTGTATCGCGACAGGTGTCGTTAAGAAAAGTCTTGGCCATTAGCCGATTCTTAGTCTTACATTCTGATTTACAGTGTTTGTGCGTTATTTTGAAAACAAGTTTAAGGCTTCGGCTCTTGTTCTTCAACCGTGATTGCAGTTAATTTAAAATCTCGTTATTCAATTTGCTATATATTTAATATTAGAATCACGGGAGTGTTAACATTCCGGGTATTTTGTGCGTATTTTTTGCTAAATTATCGTGAGTGTTCGGAGTGCCAACCAACAACGAGGGCTGAGATGGAGATGTGCAGAGATGCAGTTGGTGATGAAGACATCAAGTAGTAAGTGATTTTATACCACACGGGATTCAAAACAAGCAGCCCTCCCTCCTCAGTCTTAAAAATATATTTTCATAATTTCAATTATTTTC